CTTGAGCAGCCCCTTCGTTGAAGCAGCGCTTGTGAAGGGAAATTTTAAAACCATTGTAATGCTCCCGAAGTACGTAGACATTATGGAGTGGGTCGCGGTCAACAGTGAGTCTACATCCATTTCCGTTTCTATCGGCAAACAACGTATTCCTTCTAGTATTCGATTTTTACACGAACTTGAACGAGTTCTATGGTGTGATCGCGGAATGCTGTACCCAGCAGAGCTGCCCGAAAATGTCCGCTGGTTCGGCGTACGTTTCTACGATTACATACACTCCAGGCGCGCCTGACGAAGCCCTGCTCAGATTGAACTATACATGGATCAACCAAGATCGAAAAAGTGTACACCTGCCCGCCCCTACATATATAGACTACGTGATGACATGGGTACAAAACCTTCTTGACGATGATAACACATTTCCAACAAGAGCTGGTGCGTTCGGTCTCAAATCTGCCCCCAAAAACAATCCTGATAGTTGAACTACCGATAATAGGTCAAGAGTTCACGCCATCCTTCCCATCGACAGTGAAGCACGTCTATAGACAGCTTCTGCGCGTCTTCGCACACATATACCACGCGCACTATCACCAAATTCTTCACCTGCGTTCGGAACCTCATTTCAACTCTCTCTTCGCGCACTTTCTCGCATTTGGTCGGGAATACGAACTGCTTGACATTAAGGATGTCAAAGGCTCGTCGACAGCGCCAGTGGGCGTTGGCCAATTATGGGAAGCATGGCGGCAGATGGGTATATTAGAAGGTTAGGGAAATCGAGGCCTACTTTGTATTTTTTACGGGATTCGAGAGGTCATCTACTTGTCCTCGCAGTTTCGCGTGTAAGGCTATGTTCTGAAAATGAAGTTTGCCTGGGGACATAGAAACCAAACACTGGCATATGACATTGATTAACGATCGCCATGATGGTCAGGGTTGCCATCCAGATTCTGCACAAAGCTTTCACCGTCCTTTTCACACACAACCTGACCACTACTGTCATTCATACAGCCATATTGTGATAACCTGCCTTCTCCATGTCTTTCTTCGGGTTCGTCGTTCCTGTACTCCTAACCTACAAGCCATCGTGAATACTGACGCGCCCGATGCACGAACAGACGGAACCGAGCTCCCCGCGCTAAGAGGTCGCCCACGCCTACAGGCACCTTGCCACCTCGCAAGGAGTCGCTGGGCACTGAGCCCACGTCACCCGGTGGTGCGGGCGCGAAGCCGCTGTACCTCTCCAGCCCGTTCGCAGATTCGGCACTCGTCAAGGGAAATTTCAAGACCATCGTCATGCTCCCCAAGTATGTGGATATCATGGAGTGGGTCGCCGTGAACAGTATGTTACCATGCCGATTCCCTGCACTTGCATTGAACACCTGACTTACGAATGAGTCTAGTGTTTGACTTTTACACCAACGTGAACGAATTCTATGGTGTCTTGACGGAATGTTGTACGCAGAACAGCTGCCCGACGATGTCCGCCGGTCCATCGTACGTTGCACGAACACGAATTCATCCTCGTTTACGGTGTTTAGAGCATTCATACAGATTGAATTACACATGGGCAAGCCAGGGCGGTAAGCAGGTCGCGCTCTCCGCGCCCGCCTACATCGACTCCGTAATGTCATCGATCCAAACCCTACTCGAGGATGAGAACGTTTTCCCTACCAAGTCCAGTACGCGACTTCCTTTATCTAAATATAGCATTTGCTTCCGTGACGCCTGAACTATCCACCCTGAACAGACCAGGCGTTCCATCCGTCGTTCCCTGCCACAATCAAGCACGTTTACAGGCAGCTCCTACGCGTCTTCGCACACCTCTACCACGCGCACTTCCCGCAGATCCTCCACCTTCGCGCAGAGCCGCACTTCAACTCCCTTTTCGCGCACTTCCTCGCCTTCGGTCGCGAGTATGAGCTTCTTGAGCCCAAGGATATCCGTGGCGAATCGAATGCGCCTGTCGGAGTCGGCCTGTTATGGGAGCGCTGGAAGGACTCTGGAATTCTCGAGGCTTAACTAGTATATCTTGAAAAATCAAACAAAGGGGGGTTGGAACTGGAACTATACCTAGGGTGGAGGGACGATTGTAGATTGTAGTACTACTCATGCCGAACGGATTTATGACAATCATGATTCAACAGCTCATTCCTTTTTCCTTGACATCATAGGCACATCAAGGCGCTTGCAGTGACAATAATTATAATTTTACCCCGTCCCCCGAGGTGCATCAGGAAGAGGTATTCGCTGTCAGTCTGCCAATTTGAACATGAATAATCAGGCTAGCAGTTAGGGGAGCCAGCTTCCAGCCCCAGGACCTGTCAAGAACTAGAACTTACGTCAACCGCCGCGAAGGCCAAGCCAGACAGTCATAACTTTGAGGACAGAGTCACAGAAATATTTTTGTCGGAACTGTAGTACTAGTTAGGAGACCTAATCAAACTTATGTAGACTTATATCCAGAACATATTTGAAATGGTTGGACTAGCCATTTATATTAAATCCCAAGAGCTGAACATATACGTCTATAGCACCAGTCCCGCAACAAGGCCGAGCGACGCAAGGACCAGGGCGCGGTTTCCTGTCACAATTCCGGCACCGTTACCAGTTGGGGTGCTTCCTGCTGCACTGCCAGAGCCAGTGCTGCCGGTACCAGTCGTGTTGCTAGTGGCACCCATAGCAGTAGCCTTGAAGGTTGCGAATGTCTTCTCCGCAGTGGGATTCACAGCGAACACCATTCCTCGGGCACAATGACTATGGCGGGATAGTGGTCAGCCATTGCATAAAAAAGACTAAAAAAAACATACGGGGCTTGGTTGCAGAAGAACCAGAAGGGGGTCTTATCTGTAAATATTTAAAAGGTTTACAAAAAAAATTCGTGAAAAAATTAGAAACTTTACTGACCATCGTCGACGGTGAAAGACCACTCGGGGAATTCCGTGGCACCAGCGGGGACGGCTTGGAAACCAGAGTCGATACCGACGGTGGGCGTAGTCCTGTTTATATGTCAGATAAGAAGATATAGTATAAGTGGCCCAGCTCACATGGCCTCGCATGGCTTCAAGAAAGTCGATTGCGTGACAGTCTAGGCATTATGTTAGGAGGTTTACTGAATGAAGTAAGCACAATCGAACTGACGTGGTTCTTCGACATACTATGATAAGCATGTTAGGAAACTAGATATCTCGAGAGCGGAGGTTGTTCACTCACAATCTGAAGGCGATAACGTCGCCGACTTTGGCAACAACGCTGAAGGATGATAAATATAAACGATCTCGATGGACCAGGTGTCGAGGGCGGGGGTATACCTTTCGGGGTTATAGGTGAGGCCTCCATTCTCTCCAACGGTGACAGTGAAGTTCTCGGCGGCAGCGACGGCGAACAGAGCAGCGGCAACGGCAAAGAAACGCATTATGGGATTTAATGAAGGGAGTTGATAGAAATGCAGGTGCCTAAGACCGAATACGAAGAGCCTACGATGAAAGTGTGTGTGAATGGGAAGCAAGTTGGTTCAAAGTGATGAAGACTTACACTGCTCTGAAGGAAAGGAAGGTGAACGAGGGGAGGTAAGGGGATAAAATAGGATGTGAGGCATTTTGCTTTTAAAGAAGTAAAGGGCGCCGTTACCAAACAACTGACAGATTAGATCCCCTGAATTGGGCATCAATATGATGCCTTGGCCTTGACAATCATGACCTTTACCGCTGACCACGAACGTCAACCTGGTTCCGTCCATGTTCTTCTGATCACCACTGGTAGTGTGGCCTCGATCAAGGCGCCTTTGATTATAAAAGAGCTCCTTACGGTGGGTTTTTCATGCGTCGCCCATTCAGGTCGCTGATTTGACACGGAATTGTGATATCAGTACCAGAATGTGAGAGTAGAGGTCGCCGCCACGAAACCGTCACTTGCTTTCTACACCAAGAATGATATCATAAATGCAGGGTCACGAGTCTGGACTGATGAAGATGAGTGGACCGTACGCATGTTCTTTCAGATAATGAGCCGTGAACGTGGCTTATTTGCTCGACACAGGGTAATTTCAATATCGGCGACCCAATCCTCCACATTGAGCTTCGGAGATGGGCTGATGTTGTCCTCGTTGCGCCCTGCTCTGCAAACACCCTATCGAAGATAGCTCACGGTGCCTGCGATAATCTCGTGGTGTGCCCCAACCTTCCTTGACCGCATGATCCATTTACTTCTAACACCTGTGAACAGACCTCGGTCATGCGCGCCCTCGCCCCGACAACACCGACTTATGTATTCCCGGCAATGAACACATTAATGTATGAACACCCACTTACCGCCGAGCATATACGTGTTGTTCGCGATGTTGTCCGTTACAATGTCGTTGGACCCATCGGCAAGACCTTGGCCTGCGGGGATATCGGTGGGTAGAAACTACTCCGGCGCCCTTCCTGGCACTTCGCTTCATATTGATGTATATTGTTTCGTAGGTATGGGAGCCATGACGGAATGGAGAGAGATAGTCAAGATGGTTGTGGATCTCTACAAGCTGGTCCAAAAGCCTTGAAGTTAGAGATAGAAACAACATTTTTTTCGACGTGGACACGTGTAAAAACTTTTCTGATGTCCCTGCTAGAATGGTTTCCGGTAATATTTATCATATCGCCCCATGCGTGTTGCTCTACACTCTTCCCACTCACTACTTTCCAGAGCCCACTCTACTGCTAGAAATGCCGTTCGTGGTGACCGCCATCACCCACTCTCAGCCACGGCTCTGCCCGAAACCTTTTTGACTCCCTGGTGACGCAACTGATCATTTTAGTGAGTTTCTATGAAGACTATAAGCTCAGGAAGTAATGCAGGGGTAGAAACTTGATGGCCCCATAAGCGCCGCCACAATAGATTTATGAAAAGATCTACGGAATGTTTCCAAAACAGTTTAGTGCAGCTAAATTATAAAAACCAATTGGGACTAGTAATGATCACCGGATGTGGCGCATACAGAAAGCGGTGTAGTCAAAAATTACTTTCCTAGCCCACCGCGAGGGTCGAACTCGCAGCCTTCAGATGTCATTAGGCGGACAGCCTTAAAAGTCTGACGCTCTAGCCGATTGAGCTAGGCGGGCTGGTTGTCCAGGGTAAAAGTCAAGACTTTATATCTCTCAAAATATCCTGAGGAGTCAAAGACGCGTCCGTGACAGCGCATCTCTTCACAGCCTTACTCTGTCAGCTTCCCTGATCTTCGCAAAGCTCCAACATAGTACTTACTGCAATGACGATAGCTCCCTCAAATCGACAGTATGAAACACTGCGTAGGTATGGGGTTTGTGGGAAATTGGCTGCCAGACGTCTTCCACCGACTCAGTAGTTTTATCCAGATTCATCCGGGACTGTTACATATTCGGCTCAATTCCTTGTGTGCCCGTGCGGGAGGGTCTTTTCGCGCGTTGAAACAGGTCCATCATCTACACATTTAACTTGAAAGAATCATAAAAATTACGCAGCTCGGGCGGTCAAACCCCCGATGCGGCGCCTGCGAGCAGACAATAACTACCCTGACAAGCACTGACTAGACCATTCAACCCTTATTCAATCGGAACCTACCTATGGTGACAGCGCATCCACAGGTTGGTCAGCTTCGATCCTTGGGAGCCAATCTACTGACAAGACGCTCATATTGCTCATTCTCCATGTCCTCAATTAATGATATCAAACCCCTTATCCACTCGCAATGGGTTCGCTACGTTAATGGTGAGCGTCTTCATTATCCTTTCGAACACGACTGAAAGTGATTTTCCGTAGTGGCTTGTGCAGCCCTTGTGGTTTATGAACATAGTGGGTCATTCTTGTACCCAGAACCTTCAGAACTGAACTTTCACTAGTCCTTCAGTTCCGAAACGAGGTATTTAGCAGAACATATACTGAGCCCGACCGACAACTAATGATCTTTTCAGGTGGATCTGTTTTGGGTTAGTTTATGCCCCAGATGTTTCTGGAGTATTCAATGATCCATGCGTAGCGAAAGCGATGGACGGTACCAAAAGGCCTCTTCTTGTGGGCGAGTAGCTATCCCTCAATCGTCATGGTGAACGAAGTTAAACGCTACATGGACAGAATCGATACTTCTGCATTATCATCACTGTGTGAGTATCATTTATCCTTGCTAGAGTATACTTTCATTTACGCAAGAGAAATAATCAGCGCAAACGCAGCGGGTGCGTGGTGACTTGATATACAAAAGTGGATCCTACTTATCAACTGACCATATTAGTCTTTCTATCTGCACGACCATCAAAAAAGGTCTAATACCGTGTCATACGAACCTCACACCAACGCTCATTTGGACTTCCGTAGCTGTATGTTAAGTCACTATGTTTGCCTGGTCTTAATCTTTTCTTGTCGTGCTTTGGTATCTAAACAGATGTAAGTGTTGTAAGTTGATCTGAAGACTACATTAATTTATTCTCCGTGCCATGTCAGGTACGGCATTCTTTTTCTGGCAAGATTACGGGGCAGGTATACAGGCCACGATAGCACACGGTAAGTTGCGTTTGTAATGAATTCACTGCAAGCGTCATGTGAGTCCTTTGCAGTGATCTTACAAATGCGATTGTACGCAATGTATGGGAGGCCCTTCAAGATGCTCATATTCTTCGTGAGCCCAAGTTAAAACTTCGGTCAAGACTTTCTGTGAATCTTCATACAGATTATATTAATATCTTGCGAGGTTATCCTGCTTCTCATCTTCGGCACACTCGGTTTAAGTAATCCACACGGTTATTGTTAGTACTTCATTTCTATCATTTTTATACAGCACTGACTGACCCGATCATAGTCACAAATGAACCATTTCCAGGCGTGTTCGTCTGCGCGCACAACCAACCGTCCGACGGGCACCGACGCTGGACTGTCTACGCATGCTATATAATACTCCTGATCGTTGATGGAATAATGGTCATCCTGGCGCTTCGGAAAGCATGGGCCAATCGACCATCTGTTAGTGGATCTCCCCTCATGCAACAACTCACGAGGGACTCTGTGATATATTTCACTATGTATGTCTTGATATTTCACCAAGAATTTGAAACGATCTGACTTGATGATCCACAGAATATTCGCGACTGTCATACCAAACATTGTCGTATGGTCACTGAATCAAGTTAGCGTTCTTTTTATCTGTATTGAGTGCTACGAATATAAATCACGATTATACACAGATCACTCTCACTCAACTGAGCCTACCTTTTTTCTTCGCATCTACTGGAATCTTTTCCAATCGACTACTTATTGCCATTCGTTTGGCGTACTACCGCGGCTCAAAACCATCCGCACGTCACAATCCTGTTGAGATGCGCCGGGCCTCCATCAGAGAACTACCCAAAAGCCTTCCAATCAAACCCGGTCGGGTCTACTACGTCTAAAAGTGCGTTTGGACCTCGGCCGGCCTTTGGGGCTCCTAAAAATCTTGGGGAATGGATTAACGAATGCCTGGGTGCTTTTGTTTTATCACTACTTTATACCATGTTTCCTGCTTTAATCCTTTACATACATATTCGCGTGCAACTAATTGCCTTATCCTCTCTCTATCCATAGTTGATCCTCACACTAGCCCGCTGGTGGTACATAAACGGACTGTTACGGACATGATCTTGACACACATTTAATACGCTATCATGAAATCGACACTGAACAGGAGCGGAGGAACAGGAATCAATCACCTATTGAGACACATAAACATGGGTACCAAATATCATCCGATCTTTCGAGTAGTTTTCCTGATGCGCATTGACAATTCCTGTCGATTGCACATGTTCCCACAAGAACGTTGGGTCACCAAGGAATTGGACTAACCCAATCTCACAGTAATGAATAGACGGTGGTCTGACTATTGTATGCATTGGTCAGTGAGGACAACCGTGGAAAGCCGTGGGAGGACATAGGGCATCGGCATGGAAGTCATTGGGACGCGTCACGTCGCAGTCGACGTCGGGGACCAGGTCAGGCCAAGTTTTATCTGAGGGTGAGAAGGGTTATTGAAATACTCAGTACTCCATGAGCTTCATCGATCGCACACGGCATTAAGTGAAGTTAACGCTAAATAATCGTCGCAAGCGGCAAGGTTCAGGTGAGACTCGACATCGGCGGCCGGGGCCGCTGTTGCCAATTTCGCCAACCTGGGTTACCCCAAGGGAGATTCTCCATAGGGCGCCACAACGTGTACATACTTTGAAATGGGAAAGGATGTGCACGCGTGGACCTGACCGCAAAAATAGTGGGATACTCTCACAGTCTCCCTTGTGACTTGACAACTCAAAGCACCCGCGACAGATCAACAACCCACCCTTGGTCCATCTCTCTCTAGCAATACTTAATTCATCCTTTTCCAACTTGCCTGTTCACACGTTGTATGAGGATATCGGATTCATCCTAATTCATCACAAAAATATCGCCACATCGTACTCACATGTCATGCAGAGGCACCCGTTTGATATTGGCCAGTTACGTCTTGTCGTTAAGGAGGTTCAAAATACGTATGTCGATCATATCACAGGGGTAAGGCCACCTAATCGACTCTCGAGGCCTAATCTTTCAAATTAAAGCTGCATGTGGGGCTTGCTTATGCTCTTCCACCCCAGCATCGTGGGTCGCGGATGGTCGTTGTCGGAATCCAACTGCGAAATTCTAGATTATTTGTCTGGGGTTACTCGTCAACTCTTGAAGAAAGCGAGGCTATATAGGTTTTAAGCTTTAGCTTTAAGCCTTAAGGGGGTTGAACTGGATACGTTCTCAGAGTTCGGTTAATTGTTTAATGTCACAAGGCCAAGACAAGTTAGGAGTATTTTCCCTCCCAGCTGGTTAAATACTTATTCAACCAGGCGAAATGTCGTATCCCCTCATGGTTTCCTGGTATGTTGATGACTTCAATACTCACAGGGCTTACACATCTGGGATGGGTTCGTTATGTTCATGGTGAGTGCTTCATTCAATCGCTCGGGAGTTGCCTTGCTAAAAAAACACTTAACGGCAGTGGCCTGTGCGGCATTAGTGGTTTATGAGCACTGTGAGTCTGATTGTTTTATACAGCGCACATTGTATTGATGTCCTATCAAGTCCTCCAGTTTGACAATGAGGTACATTCGCTGTCATCTTTCCACCCCTAGCGGATTCATGAATACCCTCTCTTTCTCAGATCGAGTTGTTCTGGGTTAGTACTCCCTGTCATAAGTGAAACCCCCCCCCTGACCGATGGAATCCGCAGAAACGACGGCGGACAATCGCAAAAATACTTTTCTTATATGTACGTCCTAATCGCCGTCACAAGGAACTCGACTGTCAATTTTAATAGTCTAGATATCTTGGTATTCTTATTGTCGTGTGAGTATCACGCCCTTTCCGCCTTTACCTGTACTTACACAGACAAGGGCAGTATAAATGCATCTGGTATGTCTGGTTACCAGCGCATGATTGAGTGAAATTGACAGGTTAACTTGACACTGGTAGTCCTTTTGTATCAGCGTTCTACATAAAAGGTCAGCTCATGTTGCTTCCTAGGTGCCTTGTCATGGACACTAACGCGATCATTTCTGTAGATGTATGACCACCTTTTTTCTTCCACGATTTAAGGATTATATCGTGGCAACGCTTTATTTGGATAGGTGTTCGTATCTCTTCTAGTCCATCCATGAATGAACGTTGAGCCATCTATCCTTTACTTTCCCTTAGGTAATATTTACTTCTACTGGCAAATCTTCGGTGCCGGCCAATTGGCTTTTTTAATACATCGTGGGCTTTCTCCTTGAAAAATATTTCGGTATGGGCTATCCAACCATTTCCTAGTAATATTGCAAATGAGATTATACGCCATGTATGGAAGTAAGCGAAAAATTCTCTTATTCCTCGTAAGACTACTTCATTCTGCCATAACATTCATTTTCATTGCTTCCACCCCTGCAGATTTGTATGACGGCTTGCGAGTTGTTCTTGATCGCTATACTAGGGGGATTAGCTTTAAATGATCCGTTACACACCAGTAAATCACTTTCACAAAAAATTATTCCTTCGAGATCACTAGCTCAAGTTCAACTCTGGCTACAAACCAGCCACTACCAGGGGTCTTCATATGCGC